AATAGTGTTATGTGTGCCTTACTGCAATCCATGGTAGTTTCCCTTCTCTTTGCTGCTCTTCCTTTTAAATCTGTATCTGTTCTCATGCTGGGCAGAACTTCTGTTTTGCAGCAGACTGCCTTGTCTCAGGAATGGATATATGGTGTCTGTGTATAGGTTTGTATAGGTTTGTAACCTGAGCCAGTACTACAGGAAGAGGCACTGAGCTGAAAAGGGAAGTTCTCACCAAGCATGGGAAGAGATAAGGATTTAAAAGGAAGAGCAGCAAAGAGAAGGGAAACTACCATGGATTACAGTAACATGTGTTTAACTTAGTAGATAAATAATAAATTACTTATTCTAAAAAATTCCTTACAAAAAATGAATTAAGAACCAGTCAATAAATCAATGTGAGTGATAAAATGAAAAACTAAAATGAAGTATCGCATGTACGATTAACAACGCAATCCATAAAAATGACACAATGAATGTGAAAACAGTGATGTAAACCCGACGGAGAAAGATAGTGTTTTCCAAGATAAATTATATTGAATAATTCTTGAGGAATAAATTAATTCTTCCAATTAATTAAAAATAAAATTAATTCAACGTAAGTGATAAAAATATGAGTCATGAACACTAAATAACTCATAAACAATTGGCAACATGATTCAGAGAATAACTGTTGCTACCTTTGGATTTTGTCTGTTTTTATTGGTGGAATAGTGCACTGTGTGCTTACAGTTAGAACTGCTATCAAAGACCATTTGCACTAGTCTTCGAGTCCTCAACTCTCTTCTGCAGGCAGGGCCCTCTTTAACGGAGGGGCAGCTGCCCTGGGCCCAGTCACTGTTGTGGGGCCCAAAGCAGCTGCCCCTTGAGCCCGCAAAAGATGAACACGTGTCACTGTTCTGTTTACTATTCTATCCATATTGCATAGTGTTGCACCGCCCCTGCCATATGCTGCATAGCACGACCGCGTGATGTCTCCTCCTATCTGCTCTTTTGGAGAGCAAAAGTGCATGGTGGGAGAGGGGCGGGTAGGGGGCCCAAGAAAATGTTTGCCCAGGGTCCAATCAATATTAAAGATGGCCCTGTCTGCAGGTAGTGGTATCAGCTGAAAGTATAGACTCTTTCCTAAAATGTGGAAGGAAGATGTAAGGAAGATGCCTTCCTCAGGGGATACAATATACAGGGACATGGGAATTCTTAGTAACTCCTGCATACACACATACACAGAAAGGTCACATAGTTACATAGTATTTGAGGTTGAATAAAGACACAGGTCCATGAAGGTCCTTACGCCCCTTGTGGTTATCTCTTTTCTCCACCAGTTTTAGGCGGTGGCCTCTAGTCTTTGTTAGGGAGTTTACTGTAAAAAGTTTATTGCTGATGTTGCCATCACCCCTAAACATTTTGTACATCAAAATCATGTCCCCCCTTAATCTCCTCACTTCCAGCGTCAACAAGTTTAAGTTTAATAACCTTGTCTCATAGCTTAGGTCCTCTAGCCCCTTAATTAGTTTAGTTGCCCTTCTCTGGACTCTCTCCAGCTCAAGGACATCTTTTCTGTGGACTGGTGACCAAAACTGGACCGCATACACCAGATGAGGCCGAACCAGTGATCTGTAAAGTGGTAAACATATTTCTTTATCTCTACAGTACATCCCCTGGATGAACTGGATGAATCTCTCTTTGTTCAACCTTAACATCTATGTAACTATGTAACCAGTGTCGGATTTACTCTCCCTGCTGCCCCAAGGCCAGGTTCCGCAATATGTGCCCCCCCTCCCATCAATGGAGAATGGCAACCAGATGGCAAGACGGCAGGGTTAGTTGACATTTTTTTTACTGTGTCTTTATTTTAAAAAAAACTTTTGTATCACTTTTTATTTTTTTAATTTAATTTTCTCTTCTTATTTTTTTAATTTTTATTTATTTAATTATTTTTTTTATAATTCACGGAGCGGGTAAACTATCTCTTTCAGTCTACTCCACAACCACTCTTGGTATGGCTCTTGTGGGGATGAGCTCAGGAATTCTTAGTGCAATACTTACATTGGACTGTTGACTGGAGATTAGGAGGGGTGGCACAAGTCTATAGGCCTAGGTGGACAGAAAATACAAATCTGGTCTTGATATTTATTTTGGAACAAAGTACATTTAATCCAACACATACAGATAACGGTCTACCATTTTTCAAGTTGCTGAGTTTGGGACCATTTTGGAAGCATTGCAGACCAAATATCTCTTTATGTAGCCAAGGAAAAGTTCATCCCGTACACCATAGATAAGCAGACTGAGGAATCTTGGAAGGCACATGAAAAAACAGAAATTAATGACTGGCAAAAGAGCAGCATTATCCTTGAAGAGCAATTCTACAGCCGTGGAGCCAAAGGATGACATGCATAACACAAGCTGAATGGAATGGAGCATCATGGTTTTCGCAGCCTTGGTGACCGAAGCCTTTCCTGTGACGATCTTCAAAGCAAGAATCGTGATCCTGATGTAAGTGAAGAGGATTGTCAGTCCCGCGAGGGAAAATGTCAAGGCGTGGGCAAAAATTCTTATGGCTTCTTGCATGGCGGTGATGGTAAAAGTTGACCGGCTGCATCTTATATAGAGTAAGAAATAGCTTTTCTGAACCGAGGAGCTCAGAACAATGAAATCAATAACGTTCGGTATCAGTCCGATTGTCCACACCAACGCAATGGCAAGGAATGTTCTTCGAACTGTGCAGATCTCTCCGTGTCTTAGAGGGAAGCATATGGCAACATATCTTTCTAAGGACATGACCGCCAGGTTGTACGGCGTGACCTTCAGGGAGGTCGAGGTCAGTGTGACGATAATGTAACAGAAGGTGAAAGGTAAAGTAACTTGATAAAAATACAGGACAAAAAGAAGAAGTGCCAAGGTCAGGTACACAGTGTCGTTAATGAGCATGTGGACAAAAAGGATGTAGCGAGCTGTTTCTTGGGCAACAGAATTGGTAAAGAAGATGGTTAACATTGCTCCCAAAAAGATCAGGAAGAAGAAGAAGCAGATACACATTGGAATGATTACCACCATTCTGATGAACTCCATGTTTATGACACTCAGGGTGGACACTTTGGTTATATTGGGTTGAATGCCGCTAGAATTCATCGTGCCTAAAAGATGGTGGCAAATTCAAACTGTGTCAGAAAGAAAAAGTTTAATATTAGAGAAACAAATATGGGATAAAAGAGCTACATTCTAATTCTGGCCAGTGCACAAAGTCAAATATCTTTATTTGCAGCCCACCAATGTGCCAATGTACCATATTCTACTTACTGATAAGGGCCAACTGAAGTCACAGACATAGATATATCTTATCATACAGACTAACAACCTCTTTTTTTCATACTCACCTCCATTTTCTTGATACAGCTGCTCTAAATATGACTGTGTGGTCCAATAGATACCAGATTTAGACCCAGCGCACTCAGTAATCAGCACTCAGTGACAGACCTGTCCTCAGTAGTATACGAACGGACCGCACTACCCAGAGAATTCCATTACTTCAGATTTTATTGAAATTCACAGCAAATCCAGTATAACAGTGAATAAAAGTGTATAAAGCAGAAAATACCAGCACTGCAAAACACCCAACCAGCTACAAGGAGCTGGCTGTTTGGCCGGCTCGATGCTGATGGGCCAGAAAGGCGGCTTCCCAGCAAATCAGTATGAAGCCGGCGTCCCAGCCAATCAGCATGAAGCCGGCTTCCCGTCCAATCAGAAAGCCGGGAGGCAGGTCATTACTTCCTGATTGCCTGGGAAGCCGGCTCCATGTTCCCCTACGGTATTGCCGGTCAGTGGAATTTTTCCTCTGACCGGAAGTTCCAGTATCAGGGACGGTATTAGAGCATTTGGCCGGGTACGAGTACTCAGCCAAATACTCGGTATCGGCACCGGTACTAGTAACTAATGATAACCGTTAAGAGGCCAAATAAACCTACCTAAGTAAAAGCAATTTTAATTGCAAGAAGCATTTTTTTTATTTATGCACTGGGAATGGCAACATGTAACAAATATAAAATAGGTGTTATCCCAATTTGGTTGCAAAAGTGGATATACAATTTATAAAGCAGGAAGGCTCAGCTCACTTAGGCCAAGGCTTCTCAGGTGATTAAATCTCTACTACTGAGAGATTAAACTGCTGGTTGACAGTCATCTTCTTGGCATCACATTGATTTCGGATGGGATGGCTGCCAACATGTGGTTATAGTGGACCTATCATCAGATGATAGAGCAGGTTAAAGTAGACCTATCACCAGATGTTAAAGCAGATAAAAGTAGATCTATCATCAGAGGATAAAGCAGGTTAGAGTAGACTTATCACCAGAGGATAAAAGAGGTTTAAGCAGACCTATCATCAAATGATGAAGCAGGTTAAAGTAGACCTATCATCAGATAATAAAGCAAGTTAAAGTAGACCTATCATCAGATGATACAGGATATCAAAGTAGACCAATCACCAGATGATTAAATAGGTTAAAGTAGACCTATCACTAGATGATAAAGCAGGTTAAAGTAGACTCATCACCAGATGATTAAATAGGTTAAAGTACACTTATCACCAGATGATTAAATAGGTTAAAGTAGACCTATCACTAGATGATAAAGCAGGTTAAAGTAGACTTATCACCAGATGATTAAATAGGTTAAAGTAGACTTATCACCAGATGATAAAGCAGGTTAGAGTAGACCTATCACCAGATGATAAAGCAGGTTAGAGTAGACTTATCACCAGATGATAAAGCAGGTTAAAGTAGACTTATCACCAGATGATAAAGCAGACCTATCATATTTTTTAAGTGCAGCACGCTAGGTAAAGTTTCAATTGCAGCTATTTGTTACCTCTAATGCAGATTACAGTACTCCCCCTGACAATGCCTTCATCTGCTTTTCTCTTCATAAGGACAGCACCATCTTTGTTCAGGCATAATCCAGTGTCACCATCTAATTCCTGCACTGAGATGACGACTCGGAGATGAACCGATCATGTAAATCCAGGTTCCTCTGCAGTTCTCTGCTGTGTTCACCAAAGTCTGAAACAGATCAGCCCCTGCTGTAGTTTCTTACCTTGAAACTAAAGAAATGCTCCTCTTGCCTATAGGAGAGTGATGGCATCAATTCAACCTAGGCAAAGTCATTGGACTGGAGCCGGAGAATGGCTGTCATTTATTCATGCAGACTTGCGTAGTTAATGAAAGGTCCATTTTTAATTTCTCAGTAGCAAAGGAATTAAAACCCATATAGTCCCAGCATTAGCTTGGGGCGGTTTCATTCTTCACAGCTGATATGATACTCACTGCACAGTGTGGTCCGACCATGCAGGATAATGGTGATGGTTCACACACATATAATACTCTCCTAGCTTTCCCTTCTCTCAGTATTTATACCTTCCTACCACCACAAAGCCTTTATTAACCCTTCCTTATTCAGATGTTGTCATTTCCCATCCCCGTCCTTTGTTTAAACCTTGTGTCCCTGGTGGCTCATCACTGCTTATCAGTCTCCCCAGGGTCAGTTCACTAAAGATTATCTCATGGGCTTTGCTCCTTAAAGTTGTATTAAACTCTCAAACGTTTTTCAATAATTAATCCAGAGCAAACATATTCACCGATCAGCCATAACAATATGACCATGGTCATAACATTAGATAATCATTACATTGATTATCTGGTTACAATGAGGGAGGATATATTACAATTACACCTGGATGTGGGGGGATATATTACAATGACACCTGGAAGTGGGAGGATATATTACAATTACACCTGGATGTGGGGGGATATATTACAATGACACCTGGAAGTGGGGGGGATATATTACAATTACACCTGGATATGGGGGGATATATTACAATGAAACCTGGAAGTGGGGCGGGGATATATTACAATGGCACCTGGAAGTAGGTGGGATATATTAGGCAGCTAGTGAACATTTTGTCCCTGAAGTTGATGTGTTGGAAGCAGAAAAAAATGGACAAGTATAAGGACCTGAGGGACTTTAACAAGGGCCAAATTGTGATGTCTAGACAACTGGGTCAGAGCAACTCCAGAACTGCAGCTCTTGTGGGATGTTCCTGGTCTGCAGTGGTCAGGACATACCAAAAGTGGTCCAACGAAGGAAAACTGGTGAACTAGTGCCAGGGTCATGAGCCACCAAGGCTCATTGATATATGTGGAGAGAGAAGGCTGGCCCGTGTAGTCCAATCCGATAGAAGAGCTACTGTAGCTCAAATTGCTGAAAAAAATGAATGTTGGTTCTGATAGGAAGGTGTCTGAACACACAGAGCATCCAAGTTTGTTGCGTATGCATAGCTGCAGACCGGTCAGGGTGCCCATAATGACCTGTGCCAAAATAGCCTACAATGGACATGTGAGCATCAGAACTGGACCACAGAGCAATGGAAGAACGTGGCCTGGTCTGATGAATCACGTTTCCTTTTATATCATGTGGATGGCCAGGTGTGTGTGTGTCGCTTACCTGGGGAAGAGGTGGCACCAGGATGCACTATGGGAGGAATGCAAGTCAGCAGAAGCAGTGTTATTTTTGGGCAATGTTCTGCTGGAAAACCTTGGGTGCTTCCATTAATGTGGATGTCATTTTGACACATACACCTACCCAAACATTGTTGCTGACCAAGTACACACCGTCATGGAAATGGTATTCCCTGATGGCAGTGACCTCTTTCAGCAGGATAATGAACCCTGCCACACTGCAAAAATGGTACAAGAATGGGTTGAGGAACACAACAACGAGTTTGAGGTGGCCTCCAAATTCTCCAGATCTCAATCCAAACGAGCACCTGTGAGATGTACTGCAAAAACAAGCCCGATCCATGGAGGTCCCACCTCACAACTTACAGAACTTTAAAGATCTACTACTGACGGATTGGTGCCAGATACCACAGCAGAAAAATTGGGGCTCTGGGCAATAATCAGATTGGGGTCCTGATGTGTTTGAATACAGTAGCCATACCTCCCAACCTTCTGAAAAATTAAAGAGGGGTACTACCCCAGTCAGGAATGTGGATAGGGGGTACAGGCAGTCCTCCCATTGTGGGCCCAGACCCCAAAAGGTCGGCTGGGTAACGTTCTTTGCTGTGGATGGCAGATGGCCTTACTCGGTCAGATTTGGGATTGGCTTGTGCTATCTGTTTCTCTCAGGCTGTCTGAGTTAAGAGGTGAGCTTATGATGGAACATAACACGCCCAGGAGGAGGCAGGAGGACAGTGACAAAGCTCTGAGCCAGTACAAGATACTGAGCATGCAAATTGGCCCTGAATACTGCCTGACATGTCTGGTACAGTCCTGCATGGTACACCTCTTACTGCTCTATGAAGGCAAGCCCGGGGGGAGAGGGGGGGGCGAGGATTCAGGGGAACCCAGAGACAGGGAGTAGGGCTCTCCGTAGAGGAGAGGAGATCTGCAACATCTTAAATTTGCACAGGGGAAGTAAAGAGAAGAGAACAGTGCTTTCATATGCTAGGTGAAGAGTACAGGGATTGAGGTGTCCATATACCAGACAAGAGACACCCGACTGTGTTCTAGACTGGAGAATGCAGAAAGAAGTCAGAGCCTTCCACACGTCAGGGCGGTCGATATGCTGCAATATGTGGAGTATGCTCTGGAGCGGGGGGAGTACAGAGAAGAGATCAGGGTACTCTATGTTGGATAGGGGATAGTATGGAAATCAAAACTGTCACAAGCTTCAAAGACTTGTGTGAGACAGAACCCACCACTTCTTCTTTATAAAGGTTTTTCGAAATAACAACTGCAATTATTTAGAGATTGGAGGATAGATTTAGTGTGGTATAGCTCTTTTATTAGTATTTGTTTAATTTGAGGTGCATACAAGGAACCAGTAAGGGGGGCAGCTGAGGAGAGAAGATGGACAGAGGTATTTGGTTCCAGGGAAGTGTCAAGGGTATGATGATGGGTAATATGGGAAGGAGAGGAGTGTGG